AGGTGTTCAAAGAGAAAACACTTGGACGTGTACACCAGCAGATACTATCAATTGAACTTGTGGTTAACAGAAAAGACAAAAACGATATCATTGCAGATTAAAAGTGAAGAGCGACTGGTTAAAAATATAGTATAAAGAAAACTATTTGAAAAAAAAAAAAAAAAAAAAAAAAAAAAAAAAAAGCAAAATAAAATAAACGTTGCGCCTTTGATTTAAACTACGCAGCTCGAATGAGTAAGTAGAAATTTTTAAAACAGTTATTCGAAAGAAACCGTGCAACTTAAACAATTAAAATGTTCGAAAAAGAAAAAAAATTACTTAAAATAATAACAATTATAATTAAAAATATAATATGAAGAACAAACACTATTTGAAAAAAGGAACGTTTGTGACTTTTTTTCCGCTCACGGGAAAGGAAAATAGGTTGCCATATATTAAGAAGTTGGCCAAGAGAACTAATTTTGGCGCAAACTGAATAAAAAGTGCCAACATAAATTGTTGAATTTCTCCGTAAATTTCGCACCAAATTTTACAAAATTTAATATTTAGGCATAATTTGAGTCGCAGAATCGAAATATGTAAAAACATGGTATGTTATTGCAGAAAAAGTCCGATTTTGTGTCAAAATTCCTATGTTAGAATAGTGCTATATACGTAGCGTATTCGGAAACTAAGTACCGTTTCACTCTAGCGCCGTCGCAGCGCTGTGGTAGGCGTCCCACGCATGCGCACTAGTCTTTCTTGTTCACTGACTTTCAATTGTCGCCATTTTGGTTGCTCTATGTTGTGTTTTCAGTTTGCTGTGCACATTCAAAATGTTTAAAACAATTAGTTCTCCCGCTGACTGTGAGATTCGTGCAGTGTGATTAATTTTTGAACGCGAGGAATGTTAAACCGACCCGAAATTTATCGTCAAGTGACAGAAGTTTACGGTGAATACGCGCGATAAGTGATGGAATGGTGAGAAAGTGGGTAAGAATGTTTAATGCAGGTCGAACAAATGTCCACGCCGAGGCTCGGAGTGGTCGGCCTTCTGTTGTCACCGATGATTTGGTAAGGAAAGTTGATGAAGCAATTCATGAGAACAGACGCTTCACAATGACAACTCTTTCAGAGGCATTTCCACAAATTTCACGTACTGTTTTGTTCGAAATTGTGTCTGACCGCTTGAATTATCGCAAACTGTGTTCCCGATGCGTTCCAAAAATGCTCACTGATGTTCACAAAACAAAGCGACTTGGTAGTGCCCTGACATTTTTCACGCGGTACAGTGATGAGGGAGAAAACGTTTCAAACCAAATTGTGACAGGTGATGAAACTTGGGTGTGTCATTTCACACCAGAATCGAAACAACAATCGATGGAGTGGAGACACACTCATTCTCCGAAAAAAACAAAAGTTCAAAGTTCAAAGTGACAATGTCATCACAAAAAATTATGTGCACTGTCCTTCTGGAATAGGAAAGGCGTTTTGCTTACTGAATTTCTTCCCAGAGGTGAAAACCATTAATGCGGCACGATATTGTGAGACTTTAACAAAACTAAGGCGTGCCATTCAAAGCAAACGAATAGGAATGCTCAGTAAAGGAATTGTGTTGCTCCATGACAATGCTCGGCCCCCATACTGCTGGTGTCGCTCAATCGTTAATTCGACAGTTTCATCGGGAGCAGTTCGATCACCCGCCGTACAGCCCGGACTTGGCACCGTCCGACTATCACTTGTTCCTGCACATGAAGCGCGATTTTGGTGGCAAGCGCTTTGGATCTGACGATGACACGAAAAATGCTGTGGAGTCGTGGTTATCGAAACTGACGGGAAGTTTCTTTGACGATGGTATACAAAAACTGGTCACCCGCTATGACAAGTGTTTGATCATTGGCGGAAACTATGTTGAAAAATAGTTTAAGACATGTATTTTCATGTAAAAATAAAATTGGATTCGAAAAAATTGTTTTACTATTTTTTTCACAACGGTACTTAGTTTCCGAATACGCCTCGTATAAGTCTAATATATATCCTAAGTTGCGCTTTCGAGACATGAAGAACGCAATTTTAATTTCGTGAATCGGCCCAGTAGAACGGGAGATATCGATCTTGCTTTATCAGTTCACGCACTGCATCAACATTTCATCGACATACAACAAACCGATTTTATCCAACTTTCACGGAATTCGACCTGCAGCTAATGTCGACCAAGATTGAATTCGTTATACCAGTTTTCTACCGTGATGTAGGATGATGCTTTATTGCTATATAAAGAATTAAGTTCATAGTTCATTGAAGCATTCCTGTCTTGATAATCCACGTCAAAATTTATGAAAAATAATCGCACTAAAATATTCACGAGTCTATTCCATTTTTCGCTCGAGATAGATTCTTCAATTTACTGTAAACAACACAAATCACGCTAAAATGGCAAAACTTTCTGAAGAAGTTCTGGCAAAAAATATATTAAACTATCGATTGGAATCGTTTGGGGACACTTAGCAACACTTACTGTAGCCCAGGCCAGAAATATAAATAGCAATTTTCGTAGCCTTTCTTTTTTAACAATGCAGCTAATGTAAAGTGGTTTATTTGCTTTGCATTCAAAAACTCAGTATTTTCGGATAAAAAAGTAAACTATTGTTTTTTGCTGAAATGTTATCTAATGTATTCCTAAATACCTGATAAAACCATAATATTCTGAGATATTTAATTTTCTTCAGCGTAGAGAAACACTGCGCGAATTTGTTAATTTTAAGGGCACTGTAAAAGTTGTATTTGACACATTTAACTGAATATTTTACTTAAAATGTTGTTTAAATAAAGCTTTCAGCTCTGCAATTCATAGAGTCAAACGAGTTTTGAGAATTTTGATCTGCTTCCAAGTAACAAAAAGATCAACTCCGATGTTTACTGCCAACAACTTATGAAACTGAATTAAGCAATCAAAGAGAAAGACCAGGACTGGCAAATGGCAGAGAAACTGTGTTCCACCATGACAATGCCAGGTCTCGCACCTCTTTCGTAACACGTACGAAATTATTAGAGTTTGGTTGGGAAGTGATGTCTTATCCCCCATATAGCCCCGACCTTGCGCTATCGGACTGGCATTTGTTTTGAAGTTTACAGAACTTCTTGAATGATAAAAATTTCAGTAATAACCATGCAGAGATATTAGGTATTTTTTTGGAAGCAGAAGACTTGAACTAAATGAGAAACGCCTTCGTCGGGAATCGAACCACGGACCTCTGAAATACGCGTCCAGCATGCTGACCGCTACGCTATGAAGGCGGGAGAAATACCTTATAACCATGACCTTAAATCGAACTTGGTTGAGGTTTTTGCCGATAAAGACCAAAAGCTCTATGAGCGCGGAATCTGAAGTTACCATAAAGGAAGCAAAAAATCATTGAACAGAATGGATGCTATTTGACTGACTACAGTTCATTTTTTTTTTTTTTTCAGTAAGAAACTGAGTTTTACTTTGTAGAGACATTAGGTATATTTTTGGTATCAGGAAAGATGAAAAATAGCAACCGCCTTCGCCGGGAATCGGACCACGGACCTTTGGAATACCGGCCCAGCGTGCAGAACTACTACACCACGAAGGCACGCTAGGAAAGTGGGAGAAATACCTTATATACTCCCCTTTTTAAAGGGAGACTGGGGTTTTTTAGGGGACCCAATCGCCAAATCCTTGGTGTGGAGAATCCTTATCCACAACCCTTTTAGTTCGGGCGCCATTGTAGAGATATTAAGTACTTTGTTTTAAGCTGGTGTGATTAAAAATGAGCAATCGCCTTCGCCGGGAATCGAACCACAGACCTCTGGAATACCGGCCCAGCGTGCAGAACCACTACACCACGAAGGCACGCTAGGAAGCGGGAGAAATACCTTATAACTTCACTCTAAGAAACCTAAATTATTTTCTTGCCAACCCAATATATCAAACTCGCATATAAAATTGCTTCTATTCCGTGAGCAATCTTTTAAAATCAATTCAACTAAACAGCACCCGAAAAGGAGGCAACTTGGCAAAGTTCCGATTCTAAGTTGGACAGAATAATCGACAAGTAGTCAATTGGACCAAGTCAATTGGACCTGAATAAGTCATTCAATTTATTGAAATGTCATATTTCAGTTTTGAGGTTTGCATACTGCACTAAAACTCGGAATCTTAATATTGTTATTAATGTAGGATTTTGATGGATGTCAGTTTTATGTAAAATGAAATAAAAAATATGAAAATGTAAATGTAGCTCACTAAGAAACAAACGACACTTGCCTGTAGCCCTGCTCATTAAAACTTACACAACAGGAGTTTGTGTGCCCCCTTACTTACATGATACGACAAATAAAACAATTCGTATAAATACGTATGAAAGTTCTAAAATTTCATAATATATATAGTAGGAAACATTGGACTAAAAGTGATAAAATAAATATTTATGCTCAGAAATATGTATTCTTAATCGGTTTTAACTTTAGTTTTGATATTATATTCTATATGTGTACTAATTTCGTATATATTAATTTATCACTAAATTCACTTAGTACTTTTTCTGGCAATTTGGATATTTATTACGCTGCTCAAAGATTCTGCGTCTTGTCTTGTATGTGTTTGTCTCTATAATATTTTATAAATTTATCTTTTTATCTTTTTGCGTACATAAATTATTTTCTTTTCTTGCTTTAAACAATTAAAAATGAAAGTAATCAATTTATTGGAACCCATCAAATTCTTTTTCGTTATGTCAGAATTAGATTTGGAATTTTTCTTTTTTTTTATAACAATTTGATCATAACATTCTTTATCAAGTTTTTCCTTAATTTCTAGTTTTTAATGAAGAGATCCCCAAATATATCAGGCTCTTGAGAAAACCGGCGAATCATTCACTCGCTCTTTACGCACCCGCTTTCTGACGTCATTCGATCACAGCGACCAATGGCGCGCGTCGTTCAGCGAACCTCTTCATTTGCTGTCTATGTCTGTCACAGAAATTTAACAGAGCTCAGAAACATAAAAGGCCAGAAATAGTTTTCGCGCTCGTTCAGTGTGTCTTCTGCTGTCTTTCGAATATTTGTTCCGAATCGAATGCGTCTGCAGAACGCAAACAAGTTTCTGTTGCAGTTTCGATTAAAGTGTTTGTGACCCAGATGTTCTTTTTCTCGGTTAATAAATAAAAGAAAATATTTTTTATTCTGACCAGGAACACCTTTCTAATCTATTGGAACTGGTAAGTTTAACTCTTATATATAATTTCTAATATCATTTAAGATAAAAAATACATCAGTTTAAATTCGTTTTAAGTATTTAAATAATATTTTAATCAATGTATATTTTATTACAAGATTTCATAAATAATTTTAAAGAATGTTATTTTAAAGCTTTATTTTATAGGAATGTTGTTATGCGGATCTAAGTTAAAGTTTCTACACAACTATTTATAACTACTTTTCAGTATATGCTCATTAAATATGCAATTTCAATTTTTAAAAAATTACCTTATTCTTTCCAGTTTTAATAAAATTAATATTTTTTTGGAAAAACTAGCTTTATTTTTAACATATTTTTATTTTAGTTATGTAAACATGAAACTTTAATTTATTGGACCTTTTTATTTTTATTATTAAATATGTATTGTCTGTATCTAGAGCCAATTCAATTGGTGATGTTAAGTATTTGATAGGACACAACAGTTAATATTCTACTAACAACGTAAATATTCTGCTATGGAACGTAATACACCACGTAAATATTCTGCTATGGAACATAATATACAACGTAAATATTTTGATATGGAAATTAATTTGATAATTATCGTCTTTAAAAAAGGATGTTTTCGTGGAGGACTGTTTGTGGTGAACTGTCTTATATTCACATTACACTTGAAAGAAACGCCAGTTAACTAGTTGCTGGGAATCACGTTTGGGACAAATTGCTAAGAATACAATTGCTCAAATTCCTACTCAGATTTTACTATTTTACTCAGATCTTACTGGAATTAGTCTGAAAAAGCTCTCAGCTAGTTCTAACGTAATTTAAAATTTTAATTGTGCCAGTCCCATTCGCGTACTTTATCAAAGAAGAATTTATAATATTAGAATTTCTAATACATTTTTTAAACCTTATAAGAAACATTTTAAAAACTTATGTGGTGTTTTAGGTTCGAATATCTCCTAAATGTAAAAATGTGTTTAAAGTTTGAATATATCATTGCTCGCTGAAAACGTAATAGCTTCAAAAACAGTTGAATCTTAACTTCGTGGAACAGAGTTGCACATTGTCGATCAGAATTACTAACAGGCATCTTCATATCAGGCTTTCCTCACAAAAAGAATCTTATACTTCAAAAAGGAAAAAATCTACACTGCTTGTTCGAAAATGAAACGTGTTTGAGAAGAATATCAGTACTCAGAATGCATCTTTTATTTCGTCGCTATATTTAAGAGTAGCAAAATTAGGCTTAAATGAGAGATTAATAATTGAAAGTTATTTACCATAAAGAAAACGCTCAGTATGTCTATCCTTCTCTTGAAGACACGGGTTTGTATGTTTCTCCATATTTTCTAATACACGTTTCAACATGTCTTTGTAAGTACTACTGACTTCCGTCGTGAAACTTTCTGAAAATCCTGAGTAATTAGTGGTATAATATTTGATGCTACAACGGTGCAATTAACATTAAAATTCTACATTTTTGCTAATATTTGTATGCATTATGATTTTACCTAGAACGCTAATACCTAGAATGCTGTAACTAATTAAAATATAGAATGCTCCACTGAAATATCCTGTCTAATATTGTGAAGCACAAGTATTTTGCAAGCAGACAAAGGAACTTCGAAGTTAGAAGATTATAAAAGCCTCCTTTAACAACAAAACCGGGCAATTCAGTAGAATTAATTATCAAATTTTCCAAGTCTACTGAACTAAATGCTTAGCCAGGACTCTGAAGATTGACTGGCATTTTAAATGCTGAAAGGATTAACAACGGAAGCTTGAACTGAGTTGATTTCAGTTGAAGCTTCCGTTGTAGCATCTGAAAGCCTAATATACAAATTTGATAGCTTGGTACTCAGCCATGCAACGAATAAACTGGAAATTTACATGTAGAGGAGCTATGATTTCATTTAAGCCATAGACATTTCGAATTTCAATCCTGTTCTTAAAAGATATTTGAGAAATTGTGCAAGCAATATACTAGCAATATGGAGGAAGTTTAGAGTTCGTTTTTATTTATTGCCGACGTTAATATGAAACATGAACAATATAAATACTGTTTAAATAATGAAAGAATTTAGGTAACAAAATATGAAATACACATTTTTAAAGATAGTCTGTAATTTAATCACAGTAAGAAACTGAAAGAAAACTGGCAACAATAAAAAATCAAAACCACTACAAAAAGATTTTAATATTTAAGGGATCGGCTGAACGATAGTCGCAAAGAAATTCGTCTGCTGGGTTTCCCCTCTGAATCAGCATTACAGCCTTTGGGAACATATGATGTGCAGAAAATAAATGTGCAGAAATTTATAATTTTAAATTTACAAGCACTGCAGCCTTTGGGAACATATAATCTGCAGAAAATAAATGTTCAGAAATTTATAATTTTAAATTTACACGGTAACTTAGACTGTGCGAAAGCATCATGTAACAGTTTTAGTCATAGTGTATTTAAAATAATTCATCGAATTTCATAAAAAAAAATTGAAAAAAATCTGCACTAATATAGCATTATCTAGCAGGAATTTCACTATAAGCAGCTACGAGAATTTACGCGACATCGACGCCGCTAGACTTCTAACTGCATAATGGGAAGAGGAAATCCTAAATGGATGTTACCGAACAGTGCTATGTGTTGAACAGGAAAACGGTTTTACAGGCGCTGTTTCTTTGAAATGCAGTAAAAAACCGGATTTGATGAGAGGAAACTTCATTTATATAAGATCCTTTTAAGGATTGGGTAGTACGGATTTTAAGGCTAACTGTAGTGAATATTGTATTAATCTTATACATTAAATTAATTACACAATGAAAATTGTAATTAATTTTATAATCCAAATAATGCCATCCTAAAAAGTAATTAAGTTTATAAAAAAATGTGTTTTAAGCGGGAATTAGTTTATTTAGCCACCATGTAGTTCATTCATAAAATTATTAATATTAGTAATATTCATAAAACTATTTAATTACCTATATGGGATCTTAAATCTGTAGAAGAGTAATTTTTGATCAATAGAAAGTTATATGCAAGAGGGAAACAAAAAATTCAGACTTTGTAAATTATTATTTCTGGAATAATCAATTGGTTTAGATAATGCAGTGTAATATATAAGTAGAATATGTAAAGAGAACGAATTTTAAATTAAGTATAATGAGATGTTAATAAAGGAAATCACCATTCTCTACAGGAAAATTGTTTTCAATTCGGTACAAAATAATTTTATCGTTTTAAAATCACGAACTTATAAAAAATTCAGAAGATATTAATTAGAAGGGGATATTAAAAATTGATCGGTTGAAGGATTTTCTAAAAAGAATCTTATTTTTTATCGAAGAAAAATAATTTTAAATGAAGTCTGTCGAAAATCTGTATAGCTTTGCAATTAGCAGAAAGGGACACACGGACGCCATTTAAACTTTTCATGCTATCAGATTCTGTAAATCTCCACTGAAGCCAAATCTGTATCCAGTTCAGCTAAAATTTCAGTTATTGAGGCTAATAATTCCTGTTTTCAGTATTTCGTTTCAATTGTTCCAACAGTTTCCTCAAAATTTTGTTCTTTTCCCTTTTGAGGGGTAAAAAAACCACCACAAAAAAATCTGAAATGTTTCAGATTTTAAATTACATTTAAAGGGGCGTTTCTTTAACGTTTTGTGTGTTACCTTTATTTATTAAATATCATGTTCTTTGCACTTAAACCATAAAATTAATTCAATAGCAATGTCGCAAAGTAATTTTAAAACGAGCATATCTTTAGAATTTCCGATACACAGTTCGACGCGTTGGACATAAAAAGGTTTAGAGTGTTGCCATTGCTCTCTTTTAAAACGTTGAGTTTGTTGTTCAAAAATTTGTTAAAGGTTTACAAAATATGAAATCGATAATAAAACAAATTCCAAATTTCAAATTTGGTCTTCCACATGCCCATATTCGTAGGAGGATTACCTCCCAAGGCGCGTTTTTTTTTTTTTTTTTTTTTTTTTTTTTTTTTTTTTTTTTTTTTTTTGGTAAACATTTTGTTTGTTACCTTTATTTATTAAATATCATGTTCTTCGCACTTAAACCATAAATTTAAGTTCAATATCAATGTCGCAAAATAATTTTAAAATCAGCCTATCTTTAGAATTTCCGATACACAGTTCCTCGCACTGGAGATAGAAAGGTTCCCCCCCCCCTTCCGCAAAGTGTTGCCATTGCTCGCTTTGAAATCGTTGAGTTTGTTAATCAAAAATTCGTTAAAATTTACAAAATAGGAAATCGATCATAAAACAAATTCCAAATTTCATAATTGGTCTTCCACATGCCCATATTCGTAGGAAGATTACGTCATTCAAAATTCGATGGCTCTATGTACCGTTGTTTTATCACAGTGCGAGAAATATACATACATTTATGCATATTTTTCCTTATTTAATTTCTTCAAATATAATGCAAGACTCTAACATTTGGTGGCAACAGTTTGAAAAGTGAACCGACATTTATAAGAGTCCGACGCAAAATGCCAAAACGAAAGTAATAGTCCTTCGGAACTCAAATCCCTTTATCCTCAAATCCTGGAAATTTATTAAACTTTTATTTGGCCACTAATAAACATATAAGGAATTTTCTTCTTCCTTGCCGCGTGGATCCGTGGTGCAGTTAAAAGCACTCCCAACTAGCAGTCGGTGTTACATTTTAAGAGGAATACACTGCTACTAAAAGCAAGAAACTTAAGTGCTAAATTATTTTATAAGCCTACAAACTACAAAACAGACGATAATTGAAGCTATTACAATCATAGAAAAACAAATACCCTTACATCTTCAAAATTTGTACTCTTTCGGCAATTTTGCAATATTTTGCTTTATTTAGAAGTAAACAGTGTAACTGTCTTCGGTATCTCGACCGATATATCTCAGCATTTCAATTGGAAATTTTGCAATATTTTGCTTTATTTAGAAGTAAACAGTGTAACTGTCTTCGGTATCTCGACCGATATATCTCAGCATTTCAAAATAGACATTGAA